AGCAGGAACAGCTCCTTCTATACAGCCTTGGGTCAAGCACCTTCTGACTGTCAACCTAGCCTGCCATTAGAAGTACCTAGGAAGCTTTCAAAAAGTTTACTGTCTCAATCACATCCTAGTCACTTAAATCAGAACTACTGGAGCTGGGACCCACACACCCTGGGTGACTCTAACGTATGGCCAAGGCTGTGAACCTGTGGAAGGAGATGGCTTGCCCTGCTGAGCTCCACCTGAGACCAGAGGCAGAGACTGTGAGTGAACAGAGGCTAAGGCCTTCTCAAGTCCTAAAATCTATGATTCTGTGGGAAATGGGCACTTTTCTGGCAAAGAGAACAAATCCTGCTAAAATTCTGGGCCAGGAACTATTGCTCTGGAGTTTGTAGGCTCCATCCCCCAAGATGGTCTGCAGAAGCAGGGCTACCCCTCTGCCCGTCAAGGCCCCCATCAATGCAGGGATGCGGTCTGCCAACAACTGCACCTTGTGTGCACCCTGGAAACCTGCTTGTGTGCACCCTGGAAAACCTGCCAGGCTACGCTGCACAGGCATAAACATGAAAGCACATTGATCCAAGCCCCTGAGGAACTTGTGGGCTAGATAATAAATGGATTACAGAGAAAGCAATATTACAGCCAACCAGCTTTTCCAGGAGATGGGAGATTCCTACCAGTGTCCTTTACGTTGAAGATGCCTCATTCTTATCACTTCTAATAGAAATCCTTGCTTATGCAGTTCCCTTTTTCAACACAGTACTCTGGACATCACTGGACACTATCTTGATGGCCCAAGGGCGCCATTATCAAGAAGCAGAGCTGTCATGTATGTTTACGCAAATTGCGCTTTGCACAACTTCCGGGGGGCCCTACTTACCTCGAGGTCTCACCAATTTTTACAGTTATTGCCCAGTTTTCTGGTAAATCACAACCGAGTGTCTTGAAGAAGCTGCCCCTTTTTCTCGCAGCTCCACCACCACTTGGAGTCAGTCACTTTCAAGACTGGATGGCTAACCTTGGGGTTCACCCACGGGAGAAGCCAGTGCACGCTGCAGCCCCGCGAACTCACTCTTCTTTTCTTTCAGCCGTGCTCTTCCCTGCCGCCCACCGGCCAAAGAGATCCTCGTCGGTGCCCTTGAACCCCGTCCTGCAGAGCTCCCTGGAGGAAGTACAGCTGCTCTATGAGGTAGGCAGAGGGGAGACTGGGCCACTCAAGTAACTCAAAAGGCATTGCTCCTTCTCTATATTTTTTGGAGAAGTGACCTGAGCCCCTCTGTTGCCCGGGGGACTGGCCTAGACTTGTGTGTGGAGGTTGTGGAATCCTGCCCATCCCAAAGGAAAGTGTTCCTCGTACCCCTTTCTCCTTTCCCGCATGCCGTCCCAGGGAAGGTTGGCATTAGGGGTTTAGTCGAGGCAAAATTAGAGATTTAGGCTTGGCCCAGAGGTGCCTCTACCTGCACCCAAGCAACAGAGCGGGGCAATATTCCCCAGCCAGAGCTTTAAGCCAGGACTCATAAGCAGTGCCCAGGCAATGCCAAACCTATTGTCTGAGTGGAGTTGTGTCTCCGTAACCTCATACTGTGACAGCCCCATTTTTGAATCTGGGGCCACCCCAAAGCCTCTCTCCCTCTGCCTCTCACACCTCTGGCACCAACACCCCACATCTCCTCCAAACCACAGGTAAATTTCCCAGGGCCGCTTGGTTTGGTTCAGTGATAAAATTCCAGGTTCGAGACCTGAGCTTTAGTTCTGGTTCTGCCGCCCATCAGCTATGTAACCTTGCATAAGCCACCATTTCTCCCTGGGCTTGAATCTCCTCAGCTGTTAAATGAGGGACTCCAAAGATCGCCAAAGTTCCCCTCCTGTCTGGACGTCCTCTGACATCCTGCATGTACTAGAACTGTCTGACTAAGAAGGAGACAGCCTGCCATAGTCAAGCAGCTGAGCCAGGCAGAAGATTTCAAATCCTGCCTCGGGGAACAAACTGGAAAATGCATAGCCTCTGCCAGGTCATGAACATGGGAGTCAGAGCAAGAGACCTGTTTTAGGAAGATAACAGACAGTAGCATGCAGGATGGATTAGAGCCCGGGGGAAGCCGGAGACAGAGGGGAGAGTTAGGACTCAGTCTAAATTGCACTGATTAGGTTCCTGATATGAGCCTGGCACTGAGCAGGGGGTGCCTATGACAGACCTCACCCCTACTCTTAAAGAACAGTCAAGAAATGAGGGCAAATCTCTGTAGCACGCTTAATTCCTAGCACAATTCTCTGCATCCTTCTAATTCCCAGCTTCTGATTTTAAATTATCCAAAAGAGTCACTTTGCGCTTTAGAAGATCTTTGGTGGGTGGGAGGGAGGAAGGAGAGAAGGGGGTGATCCAGGACACTAGAAACAACAAAGTGTCACTTAATAGTGGCTTTGTACCAGGCACAGTGATAGATGTCGCTCATATTTGTCTTATTTACTCCTCACAATATCCCAGTGAACTATTGTTGTTATTAATCATTTCACGGAGGAAGAAAATGAGGCTGAGAGAAGTCAGGTGACTCATCCGAGGTTACACAGGTAGTGGGAAAGTCAGAACTGGGACCCAGGTCTCTTGATTCCAAAGCTCTTTGCAAGCCACCTCCCTACCTGAACGCACGTGGTCATGAATCCAGTGATGTCCTCAACAACGAGTGCCTCATGCTTTTGCACACCCCATGTTTCCTCCCAGTTCCTTCTGGCTGAACTTGAGATCAGCCCTGACCTGAGGATCTCCATCAAGGACGAGGAGCTCTCCTCCCTGCGGAAGGCCTCGGACTTCCGCGCCATCTGCAATGATGTGATCCCCAAGAGCATCCCAGACATCCGGCGGCTGAGCGCCAGCCTCTCCAACCACCCAGGCATCCTCAAGAAAGAGGACTTCGAAAGGACAGCGCTGACCCTGGCCTACACAGCCTACCGCACAGCCTCGTCCCAAGGGCATCAGAAGGATATCTGGGCCCAGTCCCTCCTTAGCCTTTTCCATGCCTTGAGGCATGACTTAATGCGGTCCTCATGTCCCAGAGCATCTCCCTGAGAGACTGGCTGGCACCAGGACCACGGAGCAGGGCCCAGCACACAGTAATCCAGAAATTCTTCATTCTCTACTCCATTTACAGAGACCAGCCACAAAACACATACCACCAACTCAGAGCAGCAAAGATAAAAAAAAAAAAGAAACACCGATGCTCTTTGCCCCTTGTAACTTCTTGACAAGCATAAGATTGTGATTCATATCATAATGTGACCTGGGCTGGAAAAAAAGGGCTGGAATGGTAATTCAAGATGCCTCCAGAGGCTGAATGTTTTGCCTGGTGAATTGCGGGAGTCTAAGATATGCTTTAACATTGAGTGACTGTAACACAAACACCCAAGAGTGAGGACAGAGCCAGGAGAGACATAACAGAAGTCTGGGCATGGTGGGAAAGCGGGGGGCAGATTTCTTTGGTCCTAAGAGATCAGGGTGCTGGATTGAATGAACACCTCTCCAAAGTTCTGTAGTAAGATATAAAGAAACTAGAGCTATAGCCAAATAAATACATTGTTAACCAAGGATATACTTCTCAACTTTTCCAAAAGTCCCCAAAAAGAATCAGTCAGACAATCAGTTATGACCTATATACCTAGACTCTTCTTTCCTGAAGGCTGGTCTAATGTAGAGAAGAAACACGAAGGGGGCCAACAGAAATGCTACTGTCATGCCTTGCCTTTTGAACAGAGAAACCAAGCTAATGCAGAGAGGGTCATCCTAACGAAAGAGGTGGCACCAGTGCCACGGCCTGCCTATCCTAATGCTAAAATTATTGAGCATCATCAGAGAATTAAGTGCTCCAAACAAAAATGATTTTCAGATGACAGAATTTTACCCTTTCAAATGCCAAAACTTTCATTTTAGCAACATTGACTGGATATATATGAAAGCCAGTAAGGTTGAATTTAGTATCTTGGAAACATTCTAATGAAGGAGTTAGATGAGATCATCTCTAAGATTCCTCTGCTTCTGAAATTTTCACAAGCATTTAACTAACTGTGAGATGTTACAGGGAGGACACCTGGACCTGAGATGTCTCTGCTGGACTGTTTGTATCAACCCTGAAAGGTCCCAGGCTTTCTTTCTTTTTTTTTTTTTTCTAATATTCCCGTGCGGGCACATCTGCAAACAGAGGCTTGGCCAGGGCGACTGCAATCCCAGCACCGCCTGTGATCCTGGTGGCTCCATCATGGAGTATTTCCACGGGTCTTTGTTTTTTTTTGTTGCGGGCCTCTCACCGCTGTGGCCTCTCCCGCCGCGGAGCACAGGCTCGGGACGCGCAGGCTCAGCGGCCATGGCTCACGGGCCCAGCCGCCCCGCGGCACGTGGGATCTCACGGACCGGGGCACGAACCCGCGTCCCCTGCATCGGCAGACGGACTCTCAACCACTGCGCCACCAGGGAAGCCCGGTCCCAGGCTTTCTTAACTCTGAATCTGGTGTGAGTTTTTCTGTTGCCTTCCTCACTGTCAGGCGATAAAAGTAGCACTTTACTTTGCTACCAGCATAACTTGCCCTTTGCAATTTGTTCTTTCTTACTGGGCATCGCCTGAAAAATAAGATAGCAAGTCTTGTTATAATTCCACATTAAATAAGAGTTAATAGATGAAGGTCCCTGCTAGGAGTAAAGCACCTGGGTCCTAATAAAGATTCCTCACCAGCTCAGAGATCTTTCCAGCTTCTCCGAGGTTTACAGCTGGGTTCTGGAGGCTGAAGCTGCAGGAAGTCTGATCTTTGAATAAACAAGGATTCACTGGGCTAAATTTTTTATTCTGAAATGGGTATTTACCAATTGTCACTGAATGCAGACGAAAGCTGGTCTGGACTTCTTTAGAATCTTTGAATAAGTGAGCCTCGCGTAGCAGCGCAAGCTGCATGATCTTTTGAAGTAATACCAGGATGCAGGGACAAGGTGTTTATCCTCAGAGAAAAATCCCACTTTGCATCCCAATGTTCTCAGGCTCGGAAGATTAATCAGTCTCTCTGGTTCTCATTCCCTGGCTATATTGCTCTTTTACCTCCCTCAAATACAGACTCTGATATATGCTTTTTTGTTCAATTTTTCTCTTTCTAAGATTGCATGTTCTCTTTCATGTAGTCACTCCACTTGCCTCTTTCTTTTCATTGCAGTTGGTGTCTCTGCTGTTCTGTCTTTGGGTCCAGTTCTGATTATCTTTATATCCATTCCTCGAGGCATCTCCCAGTTTCTCCTGCTTGACCTCTCGCTGCCTCTACTTGCCCGTACTCTGTTGCTCACTGTCTCCTTTGGGGATCACTGTCTGATTAAAACAAAGTCAAGACAGAGGTACAGACAAGTTTGGGATTGCCCAGAAAGCAGATTAGCCTCACGGCCTACCTTCAGTAGTATTTGTGCTTTTCCTGGATGTGGGCTGGAGAAGGGGTCAGCAGGGCCTCAATCCTTAGACACTGGGCAATACTCTAACAGTCAGAGTCCTGCATACACCCTGGCGCTCCACCCCTATCAGAATGGATCTGAGAGCTTTCTTCTAGTCACCAGGAGGAAAGACCCACCCTTGTCGTCCCTGCCTACCATGTTAGGATACACATGGCTGCTCCCAGGGGTAGGAGATCCGTGAATGGGAGGGTGGTTCCCAGGACCAGTGATAGCAATGGCAGTTCATTCACCCTGCCACAAAAGATTACAGGCACTTTTGTACTGATAAATTGGGTCCATACTTACGTGGCAAGCAACTGAATAAAGAAAAGAAAGAAGAAAGGCACAACCTTTTTAAAGACGAATGAAAATTTCATTTTTAGTAACTAGATACTTCAAAACTATTTTAGGCTGAATACAGATGAATTTGTTTACCCACAAAAAGTTTTATAGCACTGACTTCATTTACAAGCAAAATCAAATATTCTCCTCACCACCACCACCCCAAAACCCGACTCATTGCCCAGAGAGCAGTGAGGGAGTAGCCCGGACAGCAACAGACTCTCCCATTTTGGCTCATTAATGCCGCACCATACACACCACCATCAGAACCCAGTCACATTTTGTCATATTTACTCAAAGAATAATTCAGAGTGTGACATTACTAGTGGAAGCTTGCCTGTGACTCAGTGGAACCCTTCTGCCACTTCTAGACTGCCGGGAAATTTTAGGATCTAAAAATTCTGGAAGTTTCCTCTATAGTCGGCATTCTCATGGCTACCTCTGGTGTCACTCAAGAGACATTGAAAAACATCTCTATGCTGAAACCTTCATAAAGGAAAATCACATAAGTGGTAAATCACATAAGTGGCAAAGGCCAGAGCACTGGCCTAAAATTAAGTGCTTGTTAAATGACTTTACATGGTGCCCCTGACTTTCCTAACCCATTTTAATATCTTTCATTTTTTTATGGTGGTTAAAAAACACATCATATGAAATTTACCATCCGAACCATTTCTAAGTGTACAGTACAGTAATGTTAACTATGTGTACACTGTTGTGTGACAGAGCTCCAGAACTTTTTCATCTTGCAAAAACGATACCTATGAAACCACAACTCCGCTTTTCCCTCTCCCCCCAGCCCCTGGCAACTACCATTCGACTCTCTGTTTCTAAGTGTTTGACTACTTTTGATACCTCATATAGGTGGAATCTGTCTTACATTTCTTAAGCAATGTATAAAATTTCCTTAGGAAAATATTTTCTTTATCTAAAAAGTGGATGGAGTCCTGAAGGAGAACTACTGGTCTTACTATGTCACTCACATAATTTTATTTAACAGACATTCACTTATGGTGTAATAAAAATGTCATGATCGAGTTTCCAGGCTTAATGGAATCTTTATTATCTCATATTATCTCACCAAGGAATTTGAGGTGGCTCATGGGTTTAACAGAGAATGTTGACTTCCACAGCTGTTTACTTGTACCCTGTCTCTTTAATATTTGCCACCAAAACATCACCCATGTGTTTTTGCTCATTCTGAGTTTCCAAATCATCACAAAATGAGGCCTGAATGTAGTAAATACAGTAGCCAGTCTTTAAAATGCATTTAAAGACATGAGTCATTGTAGCGCGTCCTACAATGGCAAGAAAATTTCAAACTGGGTCGTCCACGGTTGCTCCTGCTTTAGAGGTCAAGAAGAACTGGTTTTCTAGGGTCACCTTTCTGGAGTCACTTTGCCTTTAACCTGGGGATTATGTCCAACTGGCATAGCTGCAGACCCTAGAATGCCATTCCTTGCGTTCCGTGAATTCAAGTGAACGTGAATTTCATAACCCTTGACTCTGCTCAGCATCTCTCAGATCAAGGCAATGCTGCCAAGGACCACCAAATATAACAGTTTGGGGGCCTTCTCTCTCTCTCTCTCTCTCTCTCTCTTTTTTTCTTTCTTCCTTGCCCCATATCCACATGACTTTTCAGAGAAAAGAGAATGCTTCTCCTGAACTGTAAGCAGCAGAAATTCCAGCGTCCAAGGGCTGCAAAGGCCCTATTCCTGCACCCATCAATTTTTTTCCTGCCCTCCCACCTCCTCCTTGCACACCAGCCAAAGGAAGCCTCCTGCTTCTTTTTTGGTAAAGAGCCTCAGAGAGGGACATTGGAACACCTACTCCAGCCAGAAAGACCACAGATGTCTGGGCTCCAAGGGCCTCTGAAATGAGACTGGCATCTAGATTTTTCCAGAGAGGCAGTACCCTTCCCATTCTCCCTAAAAGGGTCTGTGGTCTTTCTGACAGGCTAACATCCTCTGTTGACTCAGATGCTTTGTATTCACCCGGGTGCTGAAGCAAACAACCTTTGCCACCAGGGAAATCTAAAAGACTTAATATTCTATACTCTGGGGTAAAGTTCTCCAGGATTAATATTTCATTTTCTCCCTGCCACCAGACATTTCACCTTCCTAAGGACTAGGTCAGCAAGTGGCCCTCCCAGAGAAAACTCAGGGTCCTATGCTTTGCAACGTTAAAGCGGTGCTTGAGGAAGTGGGATTATGTTTACGGTGATGGTCATCACTCCAGCCCCCAGGATGTTTGAGAAACAAAAATAAGCT